AGTGAAAAAGCTGATGTGAAACTCAGCATTAATAAAAACTAAGCAAGATCATGGCATCCAGTCCCATTACTACATGGCAAATAGAAGGGGGGAAAATGGAAGTGAGAGTTATTTTCTTGGACACCAAAACACTGCAGACAGTGACTGCAGCCATGAAATTAAAAGATGCTTGCTCCTCGGAAGGAAAGCTATGACAAACCTAAACAGCATATTAAAAAGCAGAGATATCACTTTGCTGATGAAGGTCTATATAGTCAAAGCTATGATTTTTTTCCCAGTAGTCATGTACAGATGTGAGAGTTGGACCAAAAAGAAGGCTGGTTGCTAAAGAGTTGATGTTTTGTGCTGGAGAAGACTCTAGAAAGTCCCTTGGACAGCAAGGAGATCAAACCAGTCAGTCCTAAAGAAAATCAATCCTGAACATTCACTGGAGGGGCTGATGTTGAAACTAAAGCTCCAATACTCTGGTCACCTGACGTGAAGAGCTGACTCACTGGAAAAGACCTTGGCTGGATATGAGTGAGGGCAGGAGGAGAAGGGGGCAGTGGAGGATGAGATGGTTAGAGAGCAACACTGGCTCAACAGACATGAATCTGAGCAAACTCCAGGAGACACTGAAGAACAGGGGAACCTGGCGTGCTGCAGTCCACAGGGTTACAAAGAGTCAGACGTGACTTAATGACTGAACAACAGCAACCACATGAAGAACTCCTTGTAACTTGAACGTGAAGATAAACCAAACCACCTAGGAACTTACCCACCTGATTCATGGTACCAAAACAAGAACAGACAATAAGAGTGAAGCCTCCTACGCTTCCACAAAACACTAACCACTGAAGTATGTCTTTGTAGACATTTAGAACATCTATTTTAAGTCTTAACTATTTAAGGGCTTCCTAACTCCACTTAGGGGCTTCCCAGGTGGCACTAGTGGTGAAGAACCTGCCTGCCAATGCAGGAGAGGCAGGGTCGATCCCTGGACTGGGAAAATCCCCTGGAAGAGGGCATGGCAATTCACTCCAGTATTCTTACTTGGAGAATCCCACGGACAGAGGAGCCTAGCAGGCTGCAGTCCATAGTGTCGAAAAGATTCAGACATGACTGAAGCAACTTAGCCGCAGCAGAGTTCATCATTAACACCACTTACTTACTAGCCATCTGATCTTGGAGACAAATCACTTCATCTCGCTAGGCCTCAGTTTTCTTCCCTGTAAAATGGGGCCAACAATTGTTCCTCCTCCATAAAGCCTCTGTAAGGGTGAAGTGTCCTTAGGCATGCCATGTGCCTTCAAAGTCCTGGTACCAAGCAGCTAGCTGCTTAATGAATGGGCAGAGCATGCCTCCTCCATCATCACCAAAGATAAAAGTGCTGGGCCAACGCTACTCAATCAATAACCCGGCTGACCTTCACATATCACACTGGACTCTCCCTTTCAGCCAACACTATGTATGCACCAATCTAAGTCTCTAAATGAAGAGCCTCTCCTTTTGTCTCCCTCAATGGTGCCTGCTCCCTTCCTGGGAAAGCTCAGCCTTCTCCTACTCATTTACTCATAATTTCCACACGGTCACGAGGAAAATGGCACACGTCAGTGTGCTTTGGTTGCTGAATAAGCAAAACACTGGCTTTTTGCTTGGAAAACACACACACCAGCATGAAACCTTGGCAGCCCATCCACTCTTGCCGCTCAAAAGCAGGCACTCATTGCGTGCCAGCCCCGCCATGACTTCCAGAATCATGGGGGACCCTTTGCCCCCAAAGTTGAAGCCTGGAAGTAAATTCTTTTCTTTTCTTTTTTTAAACCAAGGATGTCTGACCCAGTTCCTAAAGTGTTCATCAGTGATAGGTTAAAATAAAAGCAGCAACATCTGCAAAGCATAGAACTCTTTGCCAAGAGGACAAACCAAAAGGGAGCGTGTGGGTTAATTTAGGGTTCCAAGTTAGGAGATCTAACACAACATTTTACGTGACATTTAGGCATGCTACTTTGGAATTCAAAGAGCAAAACAGTCCATAAATAAATAGGAAGACAACTGCTAGAACTAGAAAAATATTTTTTTTTAAAATCCAAGTTGCCCAAATTAATTCCTATTCCTGAGTTTCCACATCACCAAAAAAGTACCCAAAATTTCTCCTCCTAAGAATAAGCACAAGATAACCCAAACAGCAGTCTTTAGTTTCCACCTATTTCACTTGTGAAGCCTATGCCAACAAGACTTTGTGGTTTGCCCCAAAACTTTTCGTTATATTTTGAGGGTAATAACCTTAAGCTCCATAATTTCTGAGAACTGAATGCTGATATACTGTAAAATGTAAGATATTTATAAATGTACCTCTTTCACACAAATAAGCTTCAGGGGGGTGGGATTAAAAGTTCAACCGTGGTAGTTATCTATCAATTAAGAAACCAAAGGGCATATTTCATATTTAGGCTAAAGGCAATCACTCTTGAATCTGATCTCATGGAATTCAGTTAGGGAGTTAAAAGATGGACTTCCCTGGTGGCCCAGCAGTTAAGAATCCGCCTGCCAATGCAGGGAACATGGATTCAATCCCTGGTCCGGAAGGATCCCACATGCCATGGAGCAACGAAGTCCGAGTGCCACAACTACTGACGCCCGAGCACTCTAGAGCCCGTGCTCCACAAGAGAAGCCACCGCAATGAGGACCCCGCCCTGAGGACCGCAACACAGAGGACCTCACTCGCCACAAATAAGAAAGCCTGTTCACAGCCAAAACAAATAGTAAGATAAATTTAAAAAAAAAATTTTTTTAAGGAATTAAAAGATGGAGATTGGGGACAATGACTTCTTGACTAGGACTGTACTAAAGTCAGAAAAAACAGTTACAAAATTATTGTGCTGCTCTTGATGAAACAATCACTACTGTATTTTTGAGAACCTGAGTATTACCAATGTACTCTAACATGACACTTTTGAACTTCTAGCCTGGTTCCAATTCCTTCTCAAGTTCATAGGACTGGGTCCGTTTTTCTACCCAACCTTGCAAAACAGCATGGCCCACCAAAAAATATATCAGCTGCATTTGCCTTTAAATTTAGTAATCTCAAACAAAGATCCAGAGCAGCTGCATATAATTTAAAAACACTAACCCCATCCTCCAGTGTGGCCACATTAATATGGGCACATATCCCTACAAACAGCATCACCAACTATACACTTACCCTTATCACACCCCACACAAACAGAATGTGCAGAAAGGAAAAGTTAATGTAACTGACAGCTCCATCAGCAGGCCCTGAAGGGCTTATCTAGAAGGAAAACAGCCCCTCAGTCTAACCAATGTCACATCCTTTAGAAGCACATACAGTAGGTACAGAAAAAGAATGCAAAATGCTTCCACATCAGCATGTTTCAATTCATCACAATTAAGTGAAGGACAGACTGGTCATAGGGTTGAATGCCTGGCAAGTCCACTTAATCCCAGACACCGGGCATCAGGCTGGTTCAACAGACAAGACAGGTGACAGAAACAAAACCACAACAAAGAAAAAAGAGTCATTTACCTCTGGCTTTCCAACAAACCTAGTTAGATGGTGGTTCTCCAACTGAATTTCAAAATTCAGTTCAATAACCCAACATTAACTTCAGAGAGAATCCAGACGCAACCTCAACTGGCCTAAAACATCCAGACTCATTTGCAGCATCAGGTCGGCAAAACAGGACCCAGCACTAGCAGAAACCTCTCCCCTCCTAAAATGTAGGACCCCTGTGCTTCTGAATACACACACAGTTCTGCGTGTAACCTGGCCCAGGAACAAGTATCACAGCCTGCATCAAGAGCAGTCTGCTCACAGAAGCCCAAGCTTCTTAGCATTACAGAGGAGCCGCCGCGGGGAGCTTAGATCAGAAAGAGCTCCCCAAACCTCAAATAAACCAACCACAGAAGAATCCACCCAGGGAAAACGATCTGCCTTCCTAACTTCCTCCAGTGCTATCTTTTTTTGGGTTGAGAAGGGAGCGGCACTTTATGGCACTTACATATGGGGCAGAGTTCCAGGGCAAATATCCCGTTTTTTGAGGAGGTTCAGAGGCTTCCCAGCTCCCAGGCTTGCAGATTCCTCCTTATGTACCTACTCGGCCCTATCACTAATGCACCTAAAATTTTAAAGGAAATTGCTAAGCTCTTGACGCTGTCGGAGGCACCCACAAGCTTTCCCTGGAGACCTAGATAAGAGGAGCGATTCTTTCTGCATCTCAGGCCTCCCTTCTTCCTGTCTGGCCAGCTCCTCGGGGCAGCACCGGCCTCGGGGATCCACTCACAGCTTATGAGTGCCCTGCGGGCAGGTCCTGCTGGCGCAGCAGCCTGACTCTACCAAACCAGCCAGCCAGGGGAGCCGGGTGGGGACCAGTCTGCAGAGATAGCTCTTTCCACCCAGGGCTTTAGGACAAGAGAGGAGGAGGAATCCCGGGGTGGAGGCAGTCCCGGCCAGAGCTCCCTCTCATTCCTCTGGGGTTTTTCCACCAGTCTGAGCCGATGCAGCTCAGCCTGCCTGGCCAAGCCGGGCCGTGGAGAGGTCCATTAATTGACCATCTCCCAGTTCCTTGCTGGTGGCCTTGGCCACGTTGCTTTGCCTCCCTCTGCCCTCGGGGGCCTGACACCATCTACTTGGCGCGTTACGAGAGGGTCAGGATGATGTGGAAAGCGCCCAGAAGGGCTCAAGCCAGGGAGAGGACTTCCCTCTTCTTAGGGCTGTCTACAGCCTGTTCAATCCTCTCCCCACCTCTAGCCTAGAGGGGAAAACGGAGCTGGACATCCTATGTCCCCTGCCCATCACCTGGCCGCGGGGAAGGCTGGAGGAAGTCCCGCAGTGGGGGTGTGGCTCCCCCAGGCCCCTTACATCCCCTTCCTCCCCGGCTCGGAAATCGACGCAATCCAACTGCGAGGCAGCGGCCGCGAGCCGAGGAAGCGAGGCGTTCCGGCGGGCGGGCCGGGGTCCACGGAGGGCTGCACGCGGAGGGCACCGGCGCCCACCTACCTCCTCCAGCAGCGTGACGGTGTTCCTGCAGTTGTGCAGCCCCGTAGTGAAGCTGGACGTGGTGGATGAGTTGTAGTCTTCGGAGGTCTCAGCGATGAACTCGGAGACGGAGATCTGGTCCGGCATCCTGCCGGGGGAGGGGGCGAGACACAAGCGAGGGCTGGGGGTGAACGCTCATGAACGCCCCCCGCACGCAGCCCGCCACCCGCCACCCGCCGCCGGGCCTGGCGCGGCTGCGATCCTGGCGGCGGCGCGAGAAAGCTCTGGCGGGCGAGAAAGGAGGCGGCGGCGGCGGCGGCGGCGGCGGCGGCGGCCGCCGCGACCAGCGATCAGCACGGGGCCCTTCAAACTCCGAGCGGCGCGCGAGGCTGGGCGTTCTCAGCTACCCGCCTCCGTCTGCTCATGCCGGGTCACGGGGGAGGGGATGCTTCGCGGGGGGCTGGGAGGGGGAGTCCGGGGCCGGGCAGGTCGCGGCGGGCCGGCTCTGCCTGTTCACACGCTCTGACAGGCGGCAGCGGGTACACCTACTGACTGAACACATGCTCCCGCGAGCGGACGGGCGAACGGCGGGCGGGCGGCGGGCGGGCAGCCGGCCGGCGCTGCCGCGACAGTCACGGGGACAAACAAGGAAGTGCTCTGCGCACGCGCCGCCGCGCCCCGCCTCCCTGCGGGCCCGGCCCCGCCCACGCCAGGCCCCGCCCCAGCCCGCCCCACCCTCACCGCCCAGACCCCGCCCCGGTCCCCCCAAGCTCTGCGCGCGGCGCTCCGACTGGGTCCCCCCCACCACGGGCGGTTACTTCGGCGAGCTCGTTACGCGAGCGTTTCGCAAGAAGGGGGACCAGAAAAAAGAAGTTGTGCGCGTTCTTTTTTAGCCCCGTGTGGGTGCAGGAAGCGAGGCCCAGAGAGCCTCCTCCGTCTGCGCGGGTCGCGGGCCCGGCGAGAGGGGTGCGCGGCGGCGGCCTCTGGGGCCCGGCTTGCAGCTTGCCCGCTCGCCGGCTCTGGCCCCTCACTCCCTTGGTGGGCGCTCACCAGCCCCCCGAAGGCTAGTTTTGTGCCGTTTGCTGAAGCCGCTGAAGTGAAGACATAGGAAGGTTCCCCCCTCCCCCGCCCCCAGTTTTCTAATCTTTCATTTATACTGGCTTTTGTTGTTGGTATTGTTTTTAACGCGAAGGACAGAGGAGGGGAAGAGGTGTAAAAGGCATTTCCCGAGGTGCAAATGATGTACAATGCTAAGTAGATGCCAAATTTCAGCGGAAAAATTACCAACAGATTGCTCATTCCTCGGCCCTGGCAGATGGCTATTTTCTTCAATCTACTTAGCCCAAAGAATCCATTTAATTTCTCACCATTGATTGCGGATATAATTGGTTTAAAAAAAAAAAAACCACCAACTAGGCCCTTAGGAAGCGCCTGACGATTGGCTCCTATAATTGGAGCCAACTGAAGCCGGCTCATAAAGTCCCAAATTCAACAACCTGGGCAGAAGTCTAGCCCCCGGGCCTCCTCTGGGATTGCGTTCTGCGATCTTGTACAGTTATCTGTCCTCTGGTCCTTCCCCAAACCACAACAGAGTGCCCACTGGCAGGGAGGGGCATTGGACCTGGGAGTGATTGTCAAAGGAAAACTGCATCTCCTTGCTCACCGCTGACAACTATTTACTAACGCCCTCCTCCTGCCACTGGAGATTCGGAAACAGACAATGCGGCTACTCTTCCATCAACAGTAGTACGGGAAACAGACAAGCAATATACATGTAATATAAAGTGAAGTATATACAGAGTAAAGCAAGTGATGCAGGAGCTACGGTTTGAGGAATGAGCAGAGAAAACCTCCTTGACAAAGTGACATCTAGAGCAGAAGAGAGAATGAAGGGACTTTCCTGGTGGACCAAGACATCCCCGCTCCAGTGCAGGGGACCTGGGTTTCATACCTGGTCAGGGAACTAGATCCCACATGGCACAAACAAAAGAGTTTCTGAGACGCAGCTAAAAAGATGCTGCAGTGGCAACAAAGATCAAAGGTCCTGTATGCCACAACTAAGATCCGATGCAGCCAAATAAACAATAAAAAGAAGAAACGAGAATGAGGGGCTGCCTCTGCAGGTATCCTGGTGGCTACAGAATCTTGGCCTTCAGTTGCCTCCCTGAACATGAAAGAAGAGGGCGCTAGCCCCATGAGGCTGGTAAAATGGTAACAGATGAGAAGGTGCTCTGTGCACAGGAGAGGCATTGTACAAGTTCAAGGTGTTTTGTCTGCCTGTGCTGGCTGTCCTGAACCTGCACTGTGCCTCTGGGGAAGCGCTTATTAATGTCAGGAAGGCACGTATTGCAGCTAACAAGAGGAAGGCCTTGGTAAGGCAGCATACAGGAATAAAGACCCTGCTCTGGCAAAGTGTTGAGACATCAGTTCTGAGAGGCGTCCTAAAAAACAAAGAAACAAACAGGTACACACTTTCTCCTCCTTCTACATTAAAAGTCTGCACTGGGACACACCAAGGTTGAGGTTTTGGGGAGACTGCCAGATGGCATTTAGGACCCACACCTGGAGGTCACTTGTTCACATGCTGTTACTGACAGAATATGAGACACCAGAAAAAACCCTACCTCTTTTCCCATATACTAACTGGGTCATCCTGCCTCTAGAAGGTTCTGTGACTTGGGAACAACTATGGCCACTACTAGCTTGTGCTCATTAAGCTCCAAGAGCCTCAAGTAACCCCATGTTTATCCCCATGCAGCAGTTGAGAATCTAACACCCGCACTTAGCCTTCCAACCACTCCAAGAAGGCCATCCTCTAGGCTGGAAATCAATTGAGACTCTGATTTTGCATTATTTCCACTTTTCTCTCTCTTTCAAGTTGTCATCGAATACCTGTCATCCCTGCTGGGCTGGTAGCTCCTTCTGTCACATATGCATGGCTTAGAGCAAACACTTGATAAATATGAGCTGTTATTAAAAAGCCTGTAGTCAGTGAATAATTGCCTCAATTCCAGGAGGCCTGGATTCCAGAGCTTTCTCTCCTGATAACTGATGCTGTCAGCTTGGGTCTTAGTGCCCTCACTTTGATAAAATAAAGGGATGCATATGTCAAAATGACCACAGAGATCCTTCCCAGCTGGAGCTGAGTCTGTGTCTGCCCTCAGCTCTACAGAGGCAAGGAATAAAGATTATTACAACAAGCTAAGCTAACTGTGATGGTAAACAGTGGGGATTGCTTTCTTGATGGAATTAACCAGAGTGCAAACTGCTGCCACCAACTGTTGTTTCAGTTTCATTTGAAGATTATGTTATGTATCTGCTCCTCCTGCCCAAATCCCCTAGCCAAGAAAGGAATATGTGAACAATGAGATATTGTGCCCAGGTAAGTATGTACCTCCTTAGACTGGCATGCGATTAGAATTTCAAAGATTCACACCTCCACCCACCATTTCTAGGGTTCATGAGCCATAATCCTTTTAAAATTTGAAACCATGCCCCAGCACAAACCATCTGCACATCTCATTTTCTCAGACACCCTGAAAACCATTCCTGGCTATCTTCTGTGGATAGAGTCTGATGCAGGCAAAACTTAAACACTAGATTTCTTTGTTCAGAGCTGCTCAGAAATGTTTGCTGTTATTTAGTTGCTAAGTCATGTACAACTCTTTTGCAACCCCATGGACTGTAGCCCACCAGGCTCCTCTGTCCATGGGATTTGTCAGGCAAGAATACTGGAGTGGGTTGCCAATTCTTTCTCCAGGGGATCTTCCCAACCCAGGGATTGAACCCATGTCTCCTGCATTGGCAGGCGGATTCTTTACCACTGAGCCACCAGGGAAGCCCGCTCAGAAATACACATCATCATTTTTGGAGCCAGGAAAAACACAACACACATACTCATGCACACCCAGTTTTGTCTAAAGTGTGCATCATCTCTTTCGTCATCGTCATCACCCCCATCCAATGCTGTTCTTCACCCTTGCACTCCTTAAGCCTGATTGTTACTCTGAGCACTGCTGATGAGATGAGAATGGTCCTTACAGAATGCTTTTCTTCCCCTTGAAAAGCAGGGATAGGAATAGTGGTGGCTTATTCTCCTGGTCAGCAAGGGCTCTAGTGACCCCACAGGCACCAGGGAATTGGCTGAGTTAGATTCCCAGTGGTAGCTTCACTCATCTATCTGCCTAACAACCACGGCGGTGCATTTGCAAGATAGCTGACAATGTAACAGGGGTGGGAGAGTGCGGAGGAAGTGTGGGGTCCTTTCTGGGCACAAAAAACCAGGAACTTTCCTGGTGGTGCAGTTATTAAGACACAGAGCTTCCACTGCTAGGGACACAGGTTCAATCCCTGGTTGGGGAACTAAGATCCCACATGCTGCACACAGCCAAAAAAATAGAAGGGGGAAAAAAGAAACCAAGAAGAGCTATCAGTAATCTTATTCACATGCCTAGAAAGTGGCCCAGGCTGACAAGATGGAATTACAGCATTCATCAAAGGCTCGCAGTGCCTTCATAGGGCAGGGCAATGGGATAGTGTGGGAACAGAATATGCTTTGTGTTACTTGGATATGGGTTTGAGTCTACACATTCTCACTTCTAATAATGCATTGTTGTCTCATCTGTGAAATCAGTATAGTAATAAAATGACTATGTTACAGGTTGTTAAGTGAAATAAATTGAGAAGCTGTGGATAAAGCAGTTGATGCAAAGCAAATAATCAACCAATGTCAATTCCCTTTGAACTCCCTCTTTATGTGAAGTATGACCATGAATACATCTCTTTTCATTCCAGGACTCAGATCTCTCCCTAAATTGGTGACCTGGCGGAAGAAAGAAGAGAGGGAAGGGGAAACTGCACAGTAATTCCCAAAGTCTGGGATCTCAGATTTGGGTATTGTCTTTAGAAACTTTGCTTATTCTTGTAAGTATCCCTTTGGGGATTTATTTAATGGTCAGAGACCAGGCCACATAAACTTCTGGGATACAGACATTTTAAAATTCAATTTAACATTTGTTGAAATACTTTCTTGCTTTGCTCCTCTGTATGTGTAAGCCAGCAGTTTGTTAACTATGACATTGGGCAAGGTACTTACACAATAAAACTTGGCTTTATTGTTTATAAATATGTAAAATAATAAAACTTGCTTTGAAAAACTTTTTTAAGATAGTAAATGAGATTACGTCTGTAGGGAGTGTATTACAGTGCCTGGCAATAAATGAGAATTTGGGATGAGTGAAGTGCTTCATAAATACATAGTGAAATAAAGTGTTTAATTTTCTCCTGGCATCTTTGCACAGCACAAAGGCCTGAATAAAGTGGCTCTTCTTCACAGTAGTTCACCTGTGTCTGTGCTGGGAGATATTAGGGCCCATCCTTTCCTCTAATTGTTGGGCCCTCAACTGTAGCACAGCATCATGGTCAAATACTCACTCAGGAATGTGGTGCATCTCGACTGAGCTGTTTGTCCAAAATACCTACCAAACGCACCATCTCTTCTCCATCCCTGAAGACACGGCCCTGATCCAGGGCCCCCTCTGTGACCTGGTCTCGGGTCTTCTAACAGCTCTCGCTGACTCTGGACTTGCTCCTCCAACTCCTTCTCTACCCAGTTCTGGAGGAGTCCACTGTAATCTCTTCTGTGTAATTTCCATAGTTAAAAGCCTTTCTTTGATTCCACATGGCTTAGGGATTTTAAAGCCCACAGGTATATTTGCCTTTTCCTTGATAATCCTTGGGCTTTCCCACCAGTAGGCTTTTGGGCATGCTATTCCGTTGGCCTGGAATTCCCTGCCTGATCTTTCAGCCTGGTGAAGTGCTTGTGAAATTTTTGTTTTGTGGTGTCCCTGACTGCTTGTTACTGCCAATGGCACTTGGAATGAAATCTCCACCCTAGCTCTTAACAGCTGTTCTGGCCCCCTGCTTAGACCTTAAGTACGAAACCTAGGTTTCGTTTATCCTTGTTTCATGTACCAGGTTATATTGCCTTAATCTTCCTTGTTCTCTAACAGTCTCCTTAGTCAGACTTCCAGCTGCTTGAGAGCAACAGTGATGGTTTAATCACCTTACCATCTGTAAGACCTCACAAAGACCCGGTCCAGAGTGAGGGGTCAATAACGCATGTTGCTGAGTGTGTTTGCTGTGGGCCGTGGGGTCAGGGAGGAGAGACTCCAGTTTTCAAAAGCAGAAGAAATCTGTTCACACTGATGGGACACGCATGACTCGCTCCCACCTGTTTTCTTTCTTTCCTCCTATGGGAGGCCAAGGCTCCCAAGACCAGGCTGCTTGCACTGAAAACTGCTCTGCTCTTTTATGCACTGCCTTAATGAGAGCTTATCCCCGCCTCTTTAACATGAAGTGTTGAAGATATTTTAATCTTGTTAATCGTAGTTTACTTTGGGTAGTCAGCTGAACACTGATACATGTGTCTTAAACCAGTGGTTCTCATTTTTTCTCTCCCAATGCCTTGTCCCAGAGTATACTTGAGGATTTGTCAGACTAGAGTGTGGAGGAATGAAAAAGGGTTCAGAAGTCTTTAAGAGGTCAGCAACAGAGCCCCTTCTCTTCCTCTTAGCCAAATGAACTCACTCTGTAGAAGGAGTGAGATACTCAGAACTGTATTAGAGAAAGCCTAACCCTCACTGTACACAGGAATATGATTTTATTTTAAAGACCATTTTGGACATCATCATAGTGTTCATGTATTAGGAATTGCAAAGATCAGTGCTTTGGAAAATATGTTATCTGAGGGAGGTGATATTAAATGTTCTTTAGCAAAGACAAGACTTGTGGCAACATGGTTTCTGTCTTCTAATATCTGTCTTAGGAAATTGGTAGCGAACATGTCCTATGTGTTTTTAGGAGATGAAATCTGGTCCTATGAATGAGTGAAAAGAGGAGGAAGATTTTGGCTGTGACCAAGAGGTGTAGTGTGTGTCTCTCATGCTAGGCCACGGTGGGTGCATGTGCTACATATAGACTGTAGCCTTCCAAGCTCCTCTGTCCGTGGGATTCTCCATGCAGGAACACTCGAGTGGGTTGCCATGCCCTCCTCTAGGGTATCTTCCTGACCGAAGGATCAAATCCATGTCTCCTATGTCTCGTGCGTTGGCAGGTGGGTTCTTTACTACCAGCGCCACCTAGGAAGCCCAGGCTACAGTGGGTAGGAGATATAATTTTGTATCACTGCATCTCTGTCCACTGAAAGTTCATATTCACAGAGAAGGGCACCAAGACCCAGAGAGTTGCTCTGCTCACTGGGCAGCAGGGACTGGTGCTCAGGCCTGAGGTCTTTCGCCTGCACCTGTCTGCTGTGGGGCTGAGCTCTTCACTAACACCTTGGGTCATTTCTGTGTGCCAGTGACCCTCCCATGACTGTCTACACAGGGTCCACGGCTGCACCAAGTGACCTTTAAGGCCCCTTCCAAACACCAGAGCCTACTTCTAATTCAAACCAAGGAGAAAATGAACTCGTCTTAGTTGAAGAGCTTCACTATGTTTTTACAAACTCTTCCCTGCCCTGAACCAATCGACTCACCTGTTCTCCTAGAGTTGGCCAAAGAACTATCTGGAAAGCACATTTCTCAGTTTGTATCCCATACTGCTCCAAAATCTTGAGGATTTCCATCTGCCTAGGGGATTAACAAAATAATATGGAATAAATTTAAAAAAAAAAAGTACATTTCTCTTTTCTAAGCCTGTTTGCTTTTATCTTCAGTCATATTAGGCCTCTTTGCAGAATCCGCCCTCCTGGGAAAGCGTTTTTCTTACATTCCAATGCTCTCTGCTTTCTGTAACCTGGCTCTTCTCTCTTGCTGAAATGTGTTCCTCCCTGAAAGCTCTCCTTGAATGCTCTTCCTCCTTGAAGGATGTCTAACTCCAGCGCATGTACCTAACCGCCAGTGTTTCCCAACCGCCAGCGATCCTCAACGGTGTGTAAGTTCAGCGCATGCGCCAAACCGCAAGCGATGTCTGAGGCGGTGCCTAACGTCAGCGCATGCGCCCAACCACCAGTGAGTCCCAACCGCCAGTGATCCCGAAGGGTATCTAACGTCAGCGCATGCGCCAAGCATCAAGCGATGTCTGAGGCTGTGCCTAACGTCAGCGCATGCGCCCAACCACCAGTGAGTCCCAACCGCCAGTGATCCCGAAGGGTGTCTAACGTCAGCGCATGCGCCAAACCTCAAGCGTTGTCTGAGGAGGTCTCTACTGTCCGCGCATCTGCCCAGCAGCAAGTGATGTTTGAAGGGTGTCTAATGCTAGTTAGCACATGCTCCAAGCCACAAGTGGAATTTGTTGTTTGAAAGTGTGGAAGAATTATCTGTCTCAGACATGGATGCACCCACTTCGTGGGTTTGGATTGTATGTGCTCTTGTCTTGTCTCTTCACTAAACTGTGAGTTTCCTGAGGGCAGGGTATAGCTCAGAGTCTTTCCTGTCTGTCCCTCCCTCTCGCCTGGTGAATGTCTAGTGCAGTAACAAATCCACGCTAGATAATCAATGTTAATAGATCTTTAGAGCCGGTAACAGACAAAAGTCATCAAGTTAACGCCCAGAGCAAACTGTTCATCATGTAGTAGGGCCTGAAGAGTTTAGGGGTTACTGACTGGAGAGGAAGAGGAGGGGGAGGAATATATTTTAGCTGTTAATTCTTGCCTTGGTATTTTTAGTCTTGTTTTGAAGGATTAAAAGAATGAAAAAAAAATAAAAGCTCTATTGCCAGTTAAAAGCGGACATCTATTATCTTCACCAAGTAGGTGCTCAGTCTTTTCAGGAGGAACTTAATTCATCTTTAAATTTTTTTCAACATCCCTATAATTATTTTTCCTTTAAGCAATTTTCCATTTTCATGAGAAAATTCAGTTTCAGAGAAGCTAATGAATTGGCCCCAGTGAGTGGCAGAGCTGTCTAGACCCTGAGGTTTTGCTTCTGGTTGTCTTCTACTCTGCCTCCTCCTGGAGCCTGAGAGCACGTGTGAAAACAAGGCTGCCGGGGGATGGTCAGCAGCTTCAGGAGATGCTTGAGCTCAGGTCGTGTTGCTTAGAGTTTGAAAAATACAGAAGTTAATAGTGCAACTACTGTTCAAAGTTAGCGGATTTAACTCTTCTCCATTTGTTTCTCTTTAAAGGGAGAATGAGAGAGAAAGAGCTCAGGAGTCACCTCCTTGTCCTTAATTTTTCACCCTTTAACCAACCATTGGGCTTCCCTGGTGGCACTAGTGGTTAAGAACCCACCTGCCAATACAGGTGACAAAAGAGACGGGAGTTCGATCCCTGGGTCGGGAAGATCCCCAGGAGGAGGAAATGGCAACCCACTCCAGTATTCTTGCCTGGAGAATCCCGTGGACAGAGGAGCCTGGTGAGCTATGGTCCATGGGGTCATAAGGAGTCAGACACAACTGAAGCCACTTAGCACAGCACACAGCCACCTATTAACCCATCTTTAGAAAAATGAGTGATAAAAAAGCAGTGCCTCAGCAGTGTAGAAAAGTAAAGGAAAGTAAGCTATGTAGTTTTTTGTTTTAATGAAAATAGGGAATCATGCTATAAGATAAGATTCTCTTTTTAGCATGAGCTTATTTGGCCTGAGAAACCACATGAATGCTCTGAAGAGACTTGTCCTGATTTCTGGAGCATTAATCAGTGAGGAAAGGAGCCTGCACTGGGAGTCAGGCCCCGGGTCTGACTGACACTGTTCTAGTGGGCAAGATTGAGTCAGGAATATCATCTCTTCAGTTCTCATTTTTTTCATTATTCAAAACGATACAGTGGATTAGAACAGAGATTCTCAGCCTCAGCAGGGTTGATGCTTTGAGAAATTCTTTGTTATGGAGCCTGTCCTGTGTATCCTAGCGGTTTACCAGCATGCCTGACCTCTACCAGGTAGACCACATTACCACTCCTCTCCATCGTTCCTCATGAGGTGTGATGACAAAAATTCCAGACACTTAGGGGACAAAAATACCTTCATCTGCACCACTGGCTAGAAGCAGATTTTGCATCCATTGCATATTTATTGAGAATACCTCACAGGAAAGGCTCTGAGCTATGCACTGGGGACATGACAGCGAAGAGCGTCAATGCTCTTCTGTCTTCATGGAGCTTCTGTCTGGTGGGGAAGGGAAGTCTCCAGGCTGTGGGGGAGACACTGGAACGGGTGTTGTACTTGGGTCCTGGCAGGAGTCAGGGGTCCTCTGGACCTATTATTCTGAGGACATGTAAACCCTGGAAGGACCCAATCACTTCTCAGTACATCGTGTTATCTTGACCTGTTGGTCCCTCAGATGAGTGGGGAAAATGAGTACTTCCACTTGGGGATAGAGCGCTTCTGCAGCACAGGCTCATAAGGAGATGGAGAAATGAAGAGTTGAATGTAAAATGGGCCCCAGAGCAGAATAAAATAATTCTTAGTGCTTACATACCATATACCTCTGGGATAACGATTTGGGCATGTTTATTTTCCTCTTGGTTACCATATTCATGAGTAGAATGCCGCAGGGTGAGCCAGACATGGTGCCTGGAGTTACCTTTCTTAGCACTTGATTTTCTTTTGCAATTCAACTTTCTATTTTAATAAAATCAGAATATGCACAGCACCTGCAGTGCTATTAGCACTCAATGTTTTCGCATCTCTCTGAGGTGTTTATATTTTAATGGGATTATGAGGACATTCTAAACCCAATTTGAGAGGGGTAATAAAAGGAAGAAAGTAGCTCTTTCCTTAAAAAGAATGCATTGATAGGATATTAACTTGCGAGGCACTATAGCCTAGAGGGTCCAGGTTAATAGGGTGGACTGTTTGGGTTCATAGTTATTGCTCAGCTACTTTTTAGCTGTGCAACTTCAAGAAAGTCACTTGATCTCTCTTTTTTTTTTCCCCACTAGTAAAATCAAAATAGTGATAGTATTTACCTCCCCAGTTTCTTGTGGGGATTAAAGGATTTTGAACAGAAACTGGCATATGGAAATTCCTTATTAAGTTTTGAAATAGTATCTGGGAATCACTGTGTTACTTAGATAAGGTCCTGGCTTATCCAAGTCATGAGCATAATTTTGCCGAGCACTATGATTAATGGACCCGGTGTTCTTGCCTGGGGACAGAGGAGCCTGGTGGACTATAGTCCATGTGGTCACAAAAGAGACACAGCTTAGCAACTAAGCAACAACAGGATTTCAACTGCATATATTTTTATTTATACAAATGATGATCACATGCTACTTGTGAGTAGATCTCTACCCCTGCTCTTCAAAATCTCAACTTCATAGAAAAGTTTTAACAATTCAGAGGGTCTCAACATCACCCCAATATCTCAAAACAACCTCCTTGAAAATGGCTCCCTTCCCCAGGGAAGGACCTGTGGGCATACATTTTACAACTAGAGGAGGGCGAGGAGCCTCACTGTCTGGACCAGCTCCAGGGTCAACCTGTGGTCACACCCTGTGGATGTTCAGGCGGTATTGATGGTCTGCGTGGGATCTACACCATTTCCACTGGGGTTTTGTTGTGTCCTTTGGCAAAGCTGTGGGCTGTTGCCTCGGTGACTTGGACTGAGACAACAGCCCCTGTCACAAATCACTCTTGACAGTCTGATTTTCCACTAGGACCCTCAAAGACCCGCCAGACTGGACCAAGGCCTCTGGAGCACTTCCCAAGAAGCTTCTTGCTTGGAAGATTAGCAGTTTCTCCCCAAGCATCGCTCTCAACTTGCTGAACACCTGGCAACAGTCCCAGAAGGATGTGTCTCCCTCAGATCCTAGGACAGGTACGCACTTGTGCGCATCCTGTGCTTCTGCTCACAGCCCTGTGATCCTTACCACCTGGCACTTACTGTGTATATTACTTACATATGTGTGCATATGCAAGTGTGTATATGTGCTATGCTCAGTTGCTCAGTCCTGTCTGACTTTTTGTGACCCCTTGTACTGTAGCCTGCCCGGCTCATCTGTCCATGGGGATTCTCCAGGCCCGAATACTGGAGTGGGTTGCTATGCCTTCCTCCAGGGGGGTCTTCCCAACCCAGGGATTGAGCTCAGGTCCACCACATTGCAGGCGGATTCTTCACCATCCGAACCACCAGGGAGTGAGTGTATGTGCATGTGCATATCTATGTTTACATGTCTGTGGTTAAAAAAGTGTTGTTTCTAGAATTTACCATAACTACTGCTGTGTGTGTACCCCCAGAAGTGATAGGTTGAAATCCTAACTGCATATTATATATATTTATAAAATGCATCTATTATAGTGAAGGACAGGGAATCTGTGTCCTTCTGCAGTCCATGGGGTCACAATGAGTCCAACAAGACTTAGTGACTGACCAAAAATAATGCATATGTATGTGTGTATATGTGTATATGCATACATATGTTTATGTATCTATGGTTAAAACCCACTCCAGTATTCTTGCCTGGAGAATTCCGTGGACAGAGGAGCACGGCAGGCTATAGTCCATGGGGTCACAAAGAGTGCGACACGACTGAGAGACTAACACTTTCACTTTTCATTGTTTAATTTTAGATGAAAATGGGGAGTTTCTATCTCTGGCATATGACTAATAGCTATCTTTACGCTTCTAAGGAATGATTAATTTTTCACAGAGAAATAATTATGGGGAAGAGGAAGATTCATGGAGAAGGGATATAAGAGTGAAACGAGAGATGGAGTTCGAAAGTGTGCCTGTGTGTTAATATATTTGATAATGATAGTGAAGAATAGAAAGAGAAAAGCTGTGAGTGCTTGAGTCTCCTTAATGGGAAGAATAGAGGTCTGAGGAAAAAATATGAATCATGTTACTCTTTGGTGACCATGCAGTGGCACTGTTGACATGAGACAGCATCATGCTGTCACTTCCAAATTATGGTGTGTGCATTCTAGGTAAGTGCAAGAATGTCCTTTAAGGTGCCTGAAGAAAATATTTTGTTGTTGCTGTTTAGTTGCTAAGTTGTGTCTGACTCTTTTGCAACCCCATGGAGTGTAGCCTGCCAGGCTCCTCTGTCCATGGGATTTCCCAGTGCTATTTCCTTCTCCTGGGGATCTTGACTGCCCAGGAATCAAACTAGGATCTCCTGCATCAGCAGGAGGATACTGTACACTGAGCCACCAGATATTAGAACTCCAATTTCTATTTAGATTTTATCTTGAGAAAACAGATATACACTAAACATTGCTAGTATTGAATATATGATTGATACTGGCTCCATCACTCATCACTTAAGTGGAGGATTCTGCATCACATGATCTGCAAGGGGAAAGGGAGCTCTGTAACTCAGAGTTGGTGGCAGCTACCTCATTCTGAACTTACAGTGATGTGTTGTAGTTTGCATGTTCTTGGTGAAATGGATTTATACACTATATTACTGATTATGATAAATTAACAGTCTTAAAATATACAAGTGACTTAAAATAGTTTCTACAAAGAAACTGCTGGTCAAGATGGTCCTAATAATTCAAGTCAATAGTAACAGCAGGAAAATGGAAAAACAGCATGCCTCATCCTAGTTTGAACTTTTTCTCAGCTATATTGTGAGCTAAAAACAATAGCTATTGGTGATATGTTATCTAGCAGCATTTTTTTTTTGAGAAAATATACCCACTTAATCAGCCTTTTTGAAATAAAAGTGATATTTTTGATAATAAATGAGAAAATAATGGCTTTTGAAGAAAACTCACGGTTAGGGGAAAGAATTTTGAAAGTTCATGTTTAAAGATATTTTCATCACTATGTGATTTTTGTTCCTGAGATTAAGACTGATTTATTTTACCTGTAAAACTCTCATATTTCAATATTAATAAAGCTTTGAAAGTAAATTTTGTAATTTGTTAAAAAAGCTGTCCAAATGAAGCCTTTAGGTAGGTTTTAAGATCATCTGTAAAAATATAAATATTACATACCTTCATTTAATTTGTAAACAAAGAGATTAAGATTATAGAAGATGGAAATTTGTTGATCAAACATAAGACTTGTATATGAATATGGTTTTCCATAAGCACCTGTGTTACTTTGTGACGTGTATTTTTCAACTAGGCAACCATTAAAATGAAAAACCAAAGTAAGTTTAGAACCAGGCCATCAAATCAGTTCAGTTCAGTCTCTCAGTCATGTCCGACTCTTTGTGACCCCATCAACTGCAGCACGCCAGGCCTCCCTGTCCATCACCAACTCCCGGAGTCCGCCCAAACCCATGTCCATTGAGTCGGTGATGCCATCCAACCGTCTCATCCTCTGTCATGCCCTTCTCCTCCTGCACTCAGTCTTTCCCAGCATCAGGGTCTCTTCAAATGAGTCAGCTCTTCACATCAGGTGGCCAAAGTTTTGGAGTTTCAGCTTCAACATCAGTCCTTCCAATGAACACCCGGGACTGAACTCCTTTAGGGTGGACTGGTTGGATCTCCTTGCAGTCCAAGGGACTCTCAAGAGTCTTCTCCAATACCACAGTTCAGATGCATCAATCGCTCAGCTTTCTTTATAGTCCAACTCTCACATCCATACATGACTACTGGAAAAACAATAGCCTTGACTAGATGGACTTTTGTTGACAAAGTAATGTCTCTGCTTTTTAATATGTTGTCTTGGTTGGTCATAACTTTCCTTCCAAGGATTAAGCATCTTTTAATTTCATGGCTGTAATCACCATCTGCAGTGATATTGGAGCCCAGAAAGATAAAGTCAGCCACTGTTTCCACAGTTTCCCCATCTATTTGCTATGAAGTGATGGGCCTGGATGCCATGATCTTAGTTTTCTGAATGTTGAGCTTTAAGACAACTTTTTCACTCTCCTCTTTCACTTTCATCAAGAGGCTCTTTAGTTCTTCTTCACTTTCTGCCATAAGGCTGGTGTCATCTGCGTATGTGAGGTTAGTGATATTTCTCCCTGCAATCTTGACTCCAGCTTGTGCTTCCTCTAGCCCAGCATTTCTCATGACGTACTCTGCATATAAGTTAAATAAGCAAGGTGACAATCTATAGCCTTGACGTACTCCTTTTCCTATTTGGAACCAGTCTGTTGTTCCATGTCCAGTTCTAACTGTTGCTTCCTGACCTACATACAGGTTTCTCAAGAGGCAGGTCAGGTGGTCTGGTATTCCCATCTCTTTCAGAATTTTCCACAGTTTATTGTGATCCACACAGTCGAAGCCTTTGGCATAGTCAATAGAGCAGAAATAGATGGGTTTTTTTTTGGAACTCTCTTGCTTTTTCAGCCATCAAGTCGCTGTATCACAAAGTGTTATATCCAGGCTTTAAAAAGCAGTGGTACATGTTCAGTCATACTTCCTTGCTAAAATCAGGCTTCCCTGGTAGCTCAGCTGGTGAAGAATCTGCCTGCGATGCAGGAGACTCCGGGTCAATTCCTGGGTCAGGAACATCCCCCGGGGAAGGGACAGGCTACCCGCTCCAGTAGCTTCCCTGGTGGCTCAGACTGCAAAGAATCTGCCTGCAGTGTGGGAGACCTGGGTTTGATTCCTGGGTGGGGAAGATCCCCCGGAGAAAGGCGTGGCAGCCCACTGCAGTATTATTTGGAACCAAGCTATCAAATAGCTGTGTGACAAAATGTTATATCCAGACATGAAAAGCAATGATACTTGTTCAGCCATACTTCCTTTCTAAACTTACTGATATTAGTAATACTTTAGGGTAAGGCAGAAAAGTTTATATCATTAATCAGTACCCTATAATAAAACTTATTTAGCTCATATTTCTCATTTTATTTAAAGTTTATTTTTGTATATTATAGACACAATCATAGTTAATTTTGGTGTTTTATACACTTTCTTGTGTACCAGATACTGTTACAAATGCTCTACTTATATTAATTAGTTTAACTCTCACAGCACCTAATATATATATAGTATAGTATAGTATAGTATATATATATATACTATTGTCCCCATTTAAAGAATTAAGAAGCTGAAGAACAGATAGGACTAACTAAGATCCCACATACTGTGTGGCATTGCCAAAAAACAAAATCAAAATCACCCACATAAACAACAACAGCAACAAAAAAGGTCAATAGGGATGAATTTGGGTAGAATTAGAACAGGAAAAATTGAAGAAGTGAGGAGGCAAAAGAGAAGTTTGTTGTGCTCACCTGGGCATGAGTGGTAAGGGTCAGAATGAGGGAAACTTGAGGGAAGGAAAAAGGGAGTGCAGATGAAAGATAGCCTTCAAAAGAGAAGTCAGCAGGGCTTGGACACATTAAATGACAGGTGAGCAAATGGAAGAAGACAGAATGACACCAGTATTTTCGTTTAAGTTGGTGTGGTGTGTACGATGACACTGAGAAATGGGAAAGTAATATTTAGAAGGGCAATGATAGGTTTGACATTTTTATGTTGAATTTGAATTAATAGAGAAACATATTTAAGTAAAAAGGTCCAGGGGCATTTGGAAATCTTCGATTGCTCTGGCCCAAGGATGGAGTTGAAAGTCATCTGCATGGAGGACAGAACTGAAGGAGGGCTTTATTATCCAGAGATATATAGTAAAAAGATCATTTAAATAGCTTCGTACAGAGCACCACTATATACCAGTATATAGTGGAAAAACATAAAAAGAAAAAAGTGATTACAGTTATTTGTATCCTATATTTAAAACAATTTATATCCCAATTCCAACTGGCCATTAATCCTTAGAATGAACAAAGAATTTCTTGTTGTCACTGTTTCCATATACCCAGTAAATCTGTGCACTAGTCTCTGAGAATCTACACTCTGTCTTACTTTCTAAAAAACTGTATAAATGCAGACTTATTTTCTAGTCTTTTT